CCCAGTCTTAATCCCTTTGATCATCAGTCCTCCCTCTCTGATACTGGCTTTCTTGAGTTCAGCTCAGTACTTAACCAGCCACTAAATGTAGTTTCTGTTTCCCAGACTGTCTGGCCATAGGATTGTAGGCTGGCACTCCCCAGATCTATGTCTAAAATCCATATATGAGAGAGTACATGCCATGTTTCTCTTTTTGTGACTGGGTTACCTCACTCAGGATGGTTTCTTCTAGTGTCATCCATTTGCCTGCGAATCTCATGATTCCATTATTTTTTTCTGCTGAATAGTACTCCATTGTGTAGATGTACCACATTTTCTCTATCCACTCTTCGGGTGAGGGACATCTAGGTTGCTTCCAAGTTCTGGCTATTACAAATCAGCAAGACAAAAAGGCAGCCCACAGAATGGGAAAAAATATTCACTAATCCCACATCGGACAGAGGGTTGATCTCCAAAATTTACAAAGAACTCAAGAAGCAAGTCTCCAAAACAGCAAAGGACCCTATTAAAAAGTGGGCTGCAGAACTAAATAGAGAGTTTTCAATAGAGGAGTCTAAAATGGCTGAGAGGCACTTGAGAAAGTGCTCAACATCCTTAGCCATCCGGGAAATGCAAATCAAAGCAACTCTGAGATACCATCTCACTCCTGTCAGAATGGCTAAAATCAAAAACACCAATGACAATTTATGCTGGAGAGGGTGTGGCGAAAGGGGGACACTCCTCCATTGCTGGTGGGAGTGCCAACTGGTTCAGCCACTTTGGAAAGCAGTATGGAGATTCCTCAGAAAAATGGGAATAAACCTACCACAAGACCCAGCAACTGCACTCTTAGGCATATATCCAAAAGATGCCCATTCATATAACAAAGATGTCTGTTCCACTATGTTCATAGCAGCTTTATTTGTAAAAGTTATATTCTTAATGATATTTCTAAATACTTAAAAATATTTTTATGTACCTGCATGTATGTTTGTGTACCACTTTCCAGCCTGTACTGGCAGAAGCCAGAAAAGGGTGCTGGATCTTCTAGAATTGGAGTTGTAGATAGTTGTGAGCCACCATATGGGTGCTGGGAACCGAACCTGAGACCTCTAGAAGAGTAACGAATCAAGGGCTCTTAACCCCTGGGCCGTATCTCTAGCCATCTCCTCCCTCCCTGCTTCATTCCTTCTTCTTGAGATAGAATGTCATGTAGCCCAGGCTAGCCTCAAATGCTCTATGCAGAGGATGGTCTTGAACTTCTGATCCTCCTTCCTTTACCTCCTAAGTGCTGATATTATAGACATATGCTGTCATACCTGGAATATGTGTTTCTGGGAATCAAACCCAGGGCTTCTTGCTAGATAAGCGTTATACCAATTGAGCCGTGTCCTAGACGAAAAAGTATTTCTTTACACAAGATTTAAACCATCACTAACAAAAACCACAGCAGAGGAATTAACTTTTAAATTTTAAATGACCAAGAACAAAGAAAGCCTTGGAGGGGACATCACCAATAAAACAATCGTGGACTGTGTGGGTACAACTCAGAGGCAGATTATGTGTTTAGCAGTGTCAGGCCTGGGTTCAATTCCTAACACTGAAAAAAGTTGTCAGTCAGTGGCGACTGAATCAAAGACACAAGAAGAAAACCAAATCCTGTCAGCTGTGAGAAAATGGAGAAGCAACTCACCCGTGCTTCATAGAACCTCCGAGAGGCCTGGGGTTTGGGGAATAGAAAGAAAGAAAGATGGATAGAAAGAAAGGGAAAGAAAGAAAGAAAGAAAGAAAGAAAGAAAGAAAGAAAGAAAGAAAGAAAGAAAGAAAGAAAGAAAGCAAAAAACCAGAGTCGGATGTATACCACCCAAAGCTTTCCACATATCTCAGTGGTAAAGGTACTTGCTGCCAAGGGTGATGATCTAAGTTCTCCCTGAAATGAAGGGTGCACCAGCCTCCACACCTGTGCCGTGGTACACGCGCATCCCTCCCAAAGACTATACAAAAGTAAGCTCCCCCATTGATACCAAGAACAACAGGGTCTCACATCCCCCGGGCTAGACCCTGAAACCACCATTCTCAGTTTATGGGGTGCTGGGGATTGAACCCACAGCTTTGGCTTTGTACATTCTAAGCAAGCTCTCTACTCAAGCCCTGTCTTCCTAGCATCTTCCTTCTTCTCCGTTGAACTCCCCAGAGTCGTCCTCAGATATTTGAAACAGAAAGAAGGGTAGCTACATGGGCCTCTGAGTAAAAGGCTTCTCACCCAGGTCACAAGTCCTTATAGCCTCAATAGCTAGTCATCCCTTTTTTCTCTCCTCACCTGACCCCATCCTCCTTCCAGTATCCATCATACCCATTTACCAAAGCCTGATTTCCTTGGAATGTGTGGGTGGCGTTGTATCATGGCCTGAATTATATCACCAGGAAGATACTGAAAACCTCCAAACTGAGGTACCTGCCTAGGCAGTCCGTGAGGGAAGGGCCCTGGATTTCTAGTCTTTAGATACAGTCCACGCCTTGCCAATTTTTACTTATAATTTCATTTTCCTTTATTTTCTTCCTCCTTCCCTTCCTTTCTTCCTCCTCTTTGTTTTGAGACAGCTTTTCTTGTGGTCCACATACCACCCAGGACTTTATTCGGTACTAGGTATCAAACCCAGGACCTCATGCATGCTGGGTAAGAACTCCACTCCCTGAGATACATCTCCAGGCCCAGGAGACATTAAGATGCCATTTTCCTGCTTGGCATTTCCTCCCAACTGAGCCTAGAGCTGTGCGTACACCAGACAGGCTCTCTACCAATGAGCTATATTCTCAGACCTGCTTAGCTTTACAGTTTTAGTGGTCTACACTCTCAGTTGCAAATTGACTTAATTGGGGTCACAAGAGGTCCTTATTATAGCCAGGCTGATCTTGAACTTGAGAACCTCCTACTTTGGTCTCCCAAGCGCTGGAGTTACAGGTGTGTGCCACCATAGCTGGATTGCAAATTGATTTATTTTATTTATAATTTATTTGTAATTTATGGGTTATACCCATATCTATACCTTCCCCATAGATTAATTTGCATGAACTTCACACAACCAATAAGATAAAAGTAATAGTAATTAGAAAATAAAACCAAACCAAAGTGAATGCAAATGAGACAGAGAAATGAGGGTTTAAGGGGATCTGTGGTAAAGTGATGTCACAAATGCTGATATTGTTGCAGGGTCATTGGAGAGTAAGATTATCCACAGTGATGGGGCAGAGATGCATTCCACACTGTTGCCAGAATAACCCAGGGAATTCTCTTCTCCTTTAGGGATGGACCTCCACTCAGATAAGAGCAGGGGTCTTAACTTGGCTGTAGAAAAGAATTTCAGAACAAGCCCATATAAAGTAGAATTTGAGTTTATTAATAGTATATTTTAAGTGTGAAATTTATAGGAAGAGGCTCAGAAAAGGGAAGACAAACCCAAATGTGGGCATGGGTTCCCCAGAGGAGAGTTGCACCCTGTTCTTCTTACAGTGGCTTGGAGTATCGTCCTGTGGTGTCTGAGTTACATCCTCAGAGGTGTAATTAAAGGCTAAAAAACCTCCTTTTGTAAACAAAGCGGTAAGGTGAATTTACCAAGGGTATTATCCAGTCTTAGTGGTAAGATGAGAGTGTTGAAACCCAGGGTCACAGATCATTTTCACACACAGCTTATGTATTGCCTTTGACCTCTTTGTTTCTTTGTTTCAGTATCTTTATTTTCTAATATTGGCGGATGAATTGATTGATTGTGTGTATGTGTGTTCATGTACATGCATGGCACGTGTGTGAAAGTCAGGAGACAGCGTGTGGGATTCAGTTCTCTCTATCCATCTTGTGGGGACGAACTGGGATCATTAGATTTGGCAGCAAGCGCCTTTCCTTGGTGAGCCAACTCATGGGCCCTGGCTCGGATGATTTTAGGACGCCCCCACCTGTGTGGGTAACTGGCTCTTTCAGTGGTGTGTGAAGTTTCCCGACTCCAGAGTCACAAGGAAAAGATAACCAGATCCTTGCTTGGGTGAAGGGCCTTTTCCGGTCCTCTCATTTTCTTCTCTCCTTCATTCTCTTCATTCTCTGCCTGGCGCTAAGCTAGGAATCTCAGGATTGAGGAGTTACCCCACAAGAAAGACAATTATGATGGTTTGAAGGAGAAATGCCCCCTATGGCCTTAGACCTTTGAACACTTGGTCCCTGGTTAAGGTGCTCTTTGGGAGGTGTGGGAGACTTAGGAGGCGTGGTCTTTTTGATAGCTCGAGGTGGGCTTTGGGAGCTAAAAGACTGGAGCCTGGCTGAATTTTTTCTACTTGAAGATGTGAGCCCTCAGAGGCTGCTCTCAAACCATGACCACCGCCTGTTGACTCTGCTCCACCATTGTGGACTCCAACTCTCTGGAACCATAAGCCCAAATAAACCCTTTCTTCTTTTAGGTGACTTGGCCATGGTTAATTACAGCAACAGAAAAGTAACTAATATGCTGACTGAGTACTGAAACCATCAAGATTATGGTGGGCCACATCTAAAAGAGAAGAGGCTAAAATGTTCTATTTGGGGGCAGGCGATTTTGAAAAAAATATTTATTTATTTATTTAAATTTCATTTTACATTCCAACCAAAGTTCTCTTTCCCACCCCTCCTCCTGCCCCCTTGCCTTCCCACCACCTCACTTCCCCCATACACTCCCCCCAACAGGTAAGGGCTCCCACGGGGAATTGAGAAGGTCTCACACATTAAGTTGGGGAAGGACTAAGCCCCTCCTCCCTGTGTTAAGGCTGAGCATGGCATCCCCGCATAGGGAATGGGCTCCAGCAAGCTAGCTGGTGCACCAGGGATCTTGGTCCTACTGCCAGGGGCCCTGGGACTGGTGATTTTTAAGTTTATTGGTGGCCGTGTGCTGTGGTGTGATGTGTATGTGGTAGGAGGAGTCCCAAAGCTCAAGGCATCTTTCCAAGCTACTGCTGTCACATCTGCATCTCAGGCCACTGCTGTCACATCTGCACCTCAGGCCACTGCTGTCACATCTGCACCTCGGGCCACTGCTGTCACATCTGCACCTCAGGCTACTGCTGTCACATCTGCACCTCGGGCTACTGCTGTCACATCTGCACCTCAGGCTACTACTGTCACATCTGCATCTCAGGCCACTGCTGTCACATCTGCACCTCGGGCCACTGCTGTCACATCTGCACCTCAGGCTACTGCTGTCACATCTGCACCTCAGGCCACTGCTGTCACATCTACATCTCAGGCTACTGCTGTCACATCTGCACCTCAGGCTACTGCTGTCACATCTGCACCTCAGGCTACTGCTGTCACATCTGCATCTCAGGCCACTGCTGTCACATCTGCATCTCAGGCCACTGCTGTCACATCTGCATCTCGGGCTACTGCTGTCACATCTGCACCTCAGGCTACTGCTGTCACATCTGCACCTCGGGCCACTGCTGTCACATCTGCACCTCGGGCCACTGCTGTCACATCTGCATCTCAGGCCACTGCTGTCACATCTGCATCTCGGGCTACTGCTGTCACATCTGCACCTCAGGCCACTGCTGTCACATCTGCACCTCAGGCCACTGCTGTCACATCTGCATCTCAGGCCACTGCTGTCACATCTGCATCTCGGGCTACTGCTGTCACATCTGCACCTCAGGCCACTGCTGTCACATCTACATCTCAGGCTACTGCTGTCACATCTGCACCTCAGGCTACTGCTGTCACATCTGCACCTCAGGCTACTGCTGTCACATCTGCATCTCAGGCCACTGCTGTCACATCTGCATCTCAGGCCACTGCTGTCACATCTGCATCTCGGGCTACTGCTGTCACATCTGCACCTCAGGCTACTGCTGTCACATCTGCACCTCGGGCCACTGCTGTCACATCTGCACCTCGGGCCACTGCTGTCACATCTGCATCTCAGGCCACTGCTGTCACATCTGCATCTCGGGCTACTGCTGTCACATCTGCACCTCAGGCTACTGCTGTCACATCTGCATCTCAGGCCACTGCTGTCACATCTGCATCTCAGGCCACTGCTATCACATCTGCATCTCGGGCTACTGCTGTCACATCTGCATCTCAGGCAGATAGAAAAGATCAAAAGTGAGGAGGCAACTTCCCTTCTCTCTTAAGGGTAAGTCGAGAAGGTCCCACTTTCATTTTAATGTCCCAAAGGCGACCATAGGACACTGTAGTAGGACCGCCAGCCTGCAACTAATGACTCAGAGACTTATTGTTAATTATGAAATCTCGGCCATAGAGCTTACACTTGCTTCTAACTATAACCCATTTATATTAATCTATGTTCTGCCACGTGGCATATGGCTGTTACCTCTCAAACATCCTGCTTCCTCTGTGCTGGTTGGCAGCTCTATCTTTCTTTTTCCCAGAGTTCTCTCTGCCCAGAAGTCCTGTGTATCCCTCCTGCCTAGATATTTACCCTTCAGCTTATTATTACAGTACTCACAGCAATGCATCTTCCCACGGTGTACAAGATCCCACAACATTTCCCTCTGTTTGTCTAAATAAAAGGAAAGGTTTTAACTCTAATACAGTGAAATTATATACAGTAAGAACAATTATTAGGTCAGGATTACATTCACAATGTTTAGTTCACATGCATTTGGCAAATTAGTGAGTCCAAAGTTTTACACTTAAACCATTTTCTATAATAACTTGTGTTATCATTCTAAAATATCTTTTTAGACCTTAAAATATCTTTTTTTAAATAAACAACTTAAGCTTTTATGTTTCTCAACTTATAAACTTTACATCTCTTATGTAAGGTTTTTTTTTCTGAATTTGGTAACAAGGAAAACTATAGCTATCTAGTTTGTTTTGGTTTTGGGTTTTTAAACAGAGTTTCTCTGGATATCTTGGAACTCCATCTGTAGATCAGGGTGCACTCAAACTCAGAAATCCGACTGTGAACCACCAGGCCTGGCAATTACTTTTAATTTTTAAGGACACACCATACTAACATCCACAGTGGCTGCCCTAGTTTACATTCCTACCAGTGATTAAGGATTCCTCTTTCTCTAGATCCTCGTCAGCATTTGTTGTCACTTATTTACTTGACTGTAGCCTTTCTAACTAGGTAGTTACAATTTCCTAGGCAAGCAATAAATCATTAACAGAATATGGTATCATTAAAAATATGTCTCCATTGGGCTGGTGAGATGACTCAGTAAGTAAAGGCACTGGCCACCAAGCTTGATAACCTGAGTTTAGTTGCTAGAATTCAGATAATAGATAAAGCTTGATAACCTGAGTTTAGTTGCTAGAATTCAGATAATAGATAAAATGATAGAAATTGCTCCCTCATGTAGTTGGACTTTCTTTGGACCACCAGGTCCCAAATAATGACATGGAGACTTTTTATTAATTATGAAATCTTTGCCTTAGCTTAGGCTTATTTCCAACTAGCTTTTAAAACTTAACCTATTTATACTAATCTGTGTTCTGCCACATGGCTCATTACTTCTCCTGAATATTGTATGTCCGACTCCCTCCGTGTCTCACTGACTAATCCTGCCTCTCTTCTTCCCAGAGTTCCTATCTCTGCCCAGAAGTCCCACCTAGTCTCTCCTGCTTAACTATTGGCCATTAGGCTCTTTATTGAACCAATCAGAAGGAGCCTTGGCAGAGGCAAGTCTTCACAGTGTACAAAAAGATTATCACACAACACCCTCAAGCTGTCTTCTGACCACACATGTGCCATGATACACGAGCACACATAACACACACACACACACACACACACACACATAGCTTGAAAAGTTGTGAATTGTAGGACAAAACAAGGTAGCCTTGAATCTGTCTAGAGACACAGGGGACAGTTTAAGAAGACTGTGGCATCATGGGGGTTCCATAGCCCTCACTTGCAATCCCAGCACACAGGAGGCTGAGCCAGGAAACTTGCTGTGAGCTCCAGAACAACCTGGTTTACACAGTGTAGCTAGATTGGAAGCCTTGGCTCAAAACAAAACCAAGCGGAAAAACAAAACAAAACAAAGCCAGCCCCACCAGTACAGTGATGATTCAGTGATATGCAAGAGAGCTATGCTTCCTGTCCCCCTGAAGCTCAAGGCATGATGGGCTGTCATCTTAGATGAAGGCCCTTTTGCTCTTTTCAAATGGAAGCCATGGCCAAGTGCACAAACACACATGCAGACAAACAAAATAAAAATAAATATTAAAGATAAGCCCATGAACCTGCACCAGCAGGTAACAACTGCAGGCCACACACATTCCAAGTCATTGTGAGAACATTTGTTCAGGCATCCGAGTTGAGAGTTCAAAGTTCATGTGACCCAGGACAGCATCCCGTGACTGCAAGGATGTGGAGAACGTTCAAGAACCACTGGTCAGAATGTGGGGACAAGTGGGCCTTTCTAGAGGGAACTTGTCAATATGTCAAATACGCCTGAGAAATGCACATCCCTTTGACACCTCAGTTGTAGAAATCTCTCCCAAGCAATAAAAGCCTGGCACAGAAGCACACACTGTGTGGCAGGCAGCACACGTTTAGACCAGAGTGTGAAGTCAGTCTGAGCGGCGTGGTGAAACCAGCTTCAAAACAAAGCAAAAGCAGCTGGGCGGTGGTCTTGCGAGGCCGAGACCGAGGGAGCTCTGTGAGTTCCAAGCAGACACCACCCACATAAGGCAAGATTTACTCCCATGTGTATGATCTATTCTTTTTACATGGATACAGTACAATTCTCTCTCTCTGACATTCAACAACTTTACCAGTATGTACCTTAGTCTGTATATTATTTAGGATGTAAATCCAAACAGAAAGCCAAATAACAATAGGTTTATTTATTTATGTGTTTAACTACTGTGTGTGTATGTGTGTGTGTGTGTGTGTGTGTGTGAGAGAGAGAGAGAGAGAGAGAGAGAGAGAGAGAGAGAGAGAGAGAGGTAGATATGTTGGAGCATCATCTAACCTAATATTTATCTCTCTATGAACGGCACCGTAGACTTTCCTTAGTTAATGGGGGAAGATTTGGGAGAGCAGCACTTTCGAGATGGTCTAATGGAAAGGAAATGGAAACACGTTCCTGGTAAACCATTGGACAGTGGCTGGTGGGTGGCATGAGAGGTTTCAAGATGTTTTGTTTCTCCCTGTCTTGTCATGTTCTGTACTGACATGATTTCTTGATAAGCAAATCCATATTTTTCCTTTTGATCACATAAGCTATGGTATTAAGTGTATACCCATCTTATGTAATGAGACTCCTATTAGACAACCTGAAAACTGGAGTGCTCTTACAAACACATGCAAAGGAAACAGACATATAATCCACCTGCCTCAGCCTCCCAAGTGCTAGAATTATAGGTCCAGGTCAACACACATGGCTAGAGCACAATTTATTTTTTATTAATTTATTTTTTTATATTCCAATCTCAGTTCCCTCTCTCTCCTCCTGCTCCCCCCACCCCCCACTCCCATCTGCTCCTCAGAGAGGATAAGGCCTTCCCTAGGAAGTCTACTAAGTCTGTCCCATCATCTCGTTGAGGCAGGAGCACGGCACCTCTCCACCCCCACACCCCTGTGTCTAGACTAAGCAAGGTATCTCTCCATATAGAATGGGCTCCACTAAGTCAGTTTGTGCATTAGTGTTCCTTGGACCCACTGCCAGTGGCCTTATATATTGTCCCAGTCACACCATTGTCACCTATATAAGGTCTTATGCAGGCTCCCCATTTGTCAGACCTGAGTCAGTGATCTCTCACTATAGAGCACAATTTTCTATTTATTTACATTTGTTTATTTGCATGTGTATGTGCTCTTGTGTGTGTACATGTGTGTGGAGGTCAGAGGACAATTTACCTTCTACCATGTGGGTCCTAGGAATTGAACTCAGGTCATCAGGCTTGGCATCATGTATGTACTCTTACCAACAGAACAATCTCACCAGCCCATAGCACACTTTTAAATCTACTATTTGATTTAAAATCTGTTTTCTCCTATCCGGGGCTGTACCACACCCGTCCCTCAGTTTTCATGACGTTGTGGCCACAACCCCTAGGACAACACTTGTGATCATTGCTGGTCCTTCATTCCCTTTCTCTTAGGTCATTCATCTGAAGCAAGTTCTTCAGCCTGGAGGCTGGAACCTAGATAGTTAAGGTGGCATTTGCATGTTTCTGCTTCCCCCTAAGTCTCGCCCGCCCAGCGACTTAGGGAGGAGCTGGCATCTCTGCAGGCATTCCAGCTGCTTTACGTGTGGCTGACAATGGACCCATTAAACTGGTCATTCCAAACAGTGCCTTTATCTTTTAACCCCACCCCTTTCTTCTCTGAGTCAGAGTCTCTCTGTGTAGCCTTGGCTGGCCCAGAACTCACTATATAGACTGGGCTGGCCTTGAACTTTGTGAGTTCCAGGAACAGTGAGACAATCTGTCTCAAAAAATAAGATCTAGAAGTGATTGAGGAAAATACCCTGTATGCACACACACCTAACACATGCACACACACCTAACACACACACACACACATAACACACACATAACAACACATACACACATAATAACACTCACATAACAACACTCACACACATAACAACAGAGAGAGAGAAAGAGAAAAGAATATATGCATAAAACCAAACAACAAAAGGAAAAACACAAAAATCAATTGAATGTTAAGTCACAGAAAAATATAAACCTGGTAATTTCATTTATAAAAGATGCAAGAACTCATCGCACTGTGTCTATAACCCTAGTATTTGGCAGGCAGAGGCAGAAAGATCAGAAATTCAAGGCTAGCCCAATTTATATAACAGATTCAAGGTCATCCTGGACTACATGAAACCATGTCTCAAAAACAAAAACAAAAGACCCTAAGAAACAACAAACAAACAAAAAATAAAGCCAAATGCCCTCCACCCTCCAAAGAGTAATATGGTGTGAGAAAATACACAGGAAAAAGTAAAATCTGGAAAAAAAAAAAAGGGTAGAATCAGATGATTGACTCTGGAAGTCCAAGGAGGGGAGCTCCTAAGACTCCAACTAAATTTAGTTCCTTTAAAGCTAGATAATAGGTGCACACTTCACTTTTGATTTTACACCGCACATATATGTGCAGC